AAAGAAGAACTTCAAACCTTGAGTTGCAATAGTGAAAGTTTTTATGGGCTAAATATTGGATGATGCAGGAAGCATAAAAAAAGATGGAAAGGACACACAGAGTCATTGTACCAACAATAACAAAGCAGCATTCAACCATCTCAGGAGGTTACTATATGAGCAAGAACCAACAGTACTGAAGAAAGAAGTTCTGCCCTTGAAAGCCTTAGCCAAAAACAAGGGTTCAGTAATTGATAAAATACCAATCGAAATGTTTCAACAAGCAGAAGAAGCGCTCACTTGTCTATGCCAAGAAATTTGAAAGATAGTTACTTGAGTAACTAACTGGAAAAGATACATATTTGTGCTCATTCCATAGAGAGGTGACCCAACTGAATGGTCAAATTATAGAACAGTATCCCTGATATGACATGCAAGTAAACTTCTGTTGAGGCTCATCCAACAATGGGTGCAGCAGTATGTGAACAGGGAGCTGCTAGAGGTTCAGGCTGGATTCAGAGGAGGATGTGGAACAAGGGATAGGTCTTGGCTGAAAGCAGAGGATACCCCAAAGATGTTTACTTCTTTTTTATTGACTATGCCAAGGCATTCAACTGTGTGGAACATAGCAAACTATGGAAAACCTTGAGAAGACTAGGATTCCAGAATACTTCACTGTGTCCTTGTGGAGCCTATACATGGATCAAGAGGCAATTATGGGAACAGACATGGGAACACTGCATGGTTTAAAACCAGGGAAGGTGTGCATCGGGTTGTATCCTCTCACCCTACTTGTTCAATCTGTGTGCTGAGGAACTAATTAAAGAAGCTGGATTGTATGAAGAAGAAGGTGGCATCAGGATTGAAGGAAGGCTTATTAAGAACTGGTGATACACAGATGGCACACCTTGCTTACTGAAAGTGAGGAGGACTTGAAACCCTTGCTGATGAAGACCAAGGATTGCAGCCTTCGGGGTGGATCACAACTAAAAGAAAAGAAAACCAAATCCCGACAACTGGACCAATAGGGACCATCGGGATAAATGGAGAAAAGGCTGAAGTTGTCAAGGGTTCATCTTGTTCGGATCCACAATCAGTGCTTAGGGAAGCAGCAGTCCAGAGACTAAAAGACGAGTTGCTTTGGGCAACTCTGCTACACAAGACCTCTTTAAAGTGTTGAAAAGCAAGGATGTTACTTTGAGGATTAAGGTGGGTTGTGTTTTCAGTGACCTCATATGCATGTGACATATTCCTTGCAGTTGGGCAGTGAGTAAGGAAGACAGAAGAGGAATCCATGCATTTTAAAATATCGTGCTGGCAAAGAACACTGAAAGAGCCATGGCCTGCCAAGGGGATAAGGAGATCTGTCTTGGAAGAAGTACAGGTAGAATGCTCCTGAAAGGCAAAGCTGGGGAGACTTTGTCTCACAGGTTTTGGGCACGTCATCTGCATGTGGCGTCTTGTTAATGAGACATCCTCCCGTCCTTGTGCTGGATTCTTTCTTACAATTCAGAGTCTCGGGTCATTTGCTCAGCATACAGATTAAATCTGTATAGTGAATGGATACAGCCCTAATGCGCACCTTGTCCAATTTTAAAACATTACCCCATGTTTGGTTTCAATGACTGCCTATTAGTTCCACAAGAGCATAATTAAGTGTTCTGGAATTCCCATTCATCTAAATGTTATTCATACCTTATTAGGAGCCACACAGGTGAATGCCTTTGCACAGTCAATAAAACACAGGTAACTTCCTGTTATCCTTTGCTTTTAGACAGGGTGGAGCTGGCATCAGCAATGCTATCACTCACTCAATGTCCTCTTCTGAGTCTGGCCTGATTCTCTGGCAGCTCCCTGTAGATGTGCCGCTGCAACTGTTTTGAATGATCTTCAGTACAGGGTTACGTGTGTGATATCAATGATGTTGTTCAATACGTCCAGTACTCTACTAAGTCCCTCTTTTTCTGGAATGGGCACTGCTATCGATCTCTTCCGGTCAGTGGGCCAGGTAGCTGTTTTTGAAATTTCTTGTCATCACTTTTTAGTTAGAGATCTATGTTTTCCCATTGTACAAGAATTTTTTCAGGAAAATTGGATAATAGATGCTATCCCCAAGTAAGGCACTAGGTGGAGCATGCTCACTGAGAGGAATTTAAATTGACTGTCACTCAAACCGAAAAATCCAACTCACCACCATGGAGTTGATCCCGACCAGTGACGACAAATCTCTTAGTGAAATCAAAGGGAATATATATATATTTTTTTCTCTTGAATTTCAATTAAAAATAAGTAAATTTAGTGTACAACACTTTTCAGAATGATATGTGAAGTTCAGCGAAAATAGCAACGCACTGCCATCAAGTCAACTCGGATTCAAAGCGCCCCTAGTGGACAGAATAGAACTGTGCCGGTGGGTTTCTGAGACCCTCCGTCTTTACCAGAGTAGAAAGCCTCCTCTTTCTTCCACGGAGTAGCTGGTGGGTTTGGACTGCTGACCATGGATAGCAGCCAACACCTATGGCTCTCTGCCACCAGGGCTCCTTGCGTAAAACAAAGCAGATAAAACCTGGTGTCGACTAGTTTCTCTCTTTCTTCAAGAAACCCTCCAAACACTATAATCAAAAGAGCAAATGAAAATAGCAGTTTCAGAACAAACATTAGTTAAGGAAGAAAGACAAGTGTTTTGTTTTTGTTTCTTAGTCACTGGAAAAGAAAGTGACCTTCTTCCGAGTAGATATGTTATGCATCTGTGCCAACTCCTACATTGCTAGCCTCAGTCTGGGATCAAATCATCCTAAGAATTTGACTATTTGTAAATAGGGGCAGAGGTACTGATGGCTGATAGCATCAGGCGAGATCTTTTAAAAGCTATAAGATAGTATTTTGCAAAGAGGTTCTGAGGCACAAATCTAGCTTTGCAGACAGCATGTGCAGGAATCCTGGATTCTGAAAGCACTGCTGAAATGCGTGCACTTTGTGTGGCCATGCTGGCATTTGAAATCCCAGTGGCCTCGCTTCCAGCATGACAGTAACCCACAAACCACCACAGTCCAACAAAGTGACAGACAAGTGGTGGCATACACTTAAGACTCCGTATATAGAGCCGTTTGAGGTCACGTCTTCCTTTTTAGCTACTGTAGTGGTATGAAAAAGGTGTCAGGGTACATCAAGAATCCATGTCTACTACATGGGACGTACCCCAACACCTTTAGTTAAAGCAAGCTCCTGGAACCTGGATGGATAGAACTCCTATCTCGATGGTGGTATCTCCTTCACCTTCCAAGATGTAATTCCTAGAAGATGACAGGGAACTAAGCGATCATGCTTCCTCTTCTGGTGAATTTTCATCACCAGGGAGGACATTCTATCCGTCCTTTTGTTTGGCTATCAGTATTTCGAGTTATGCGTTAAGGTTTGAAAATGGTTGGTTCCAAATTTGAGTAGGATTGGTAAGGATGATTTGGACAGCTCTTTTCCCTCTTCAAAGTGTTTGTATATCCATGACTGTATATCCTTGCCTTTCACCATGATATTGATGGAGTAGTCACGAGGATTTCTAATGAGGATTCTGGCAGTTGAAGGCTTTGGGGAGTGGTCCAAACCACAGCACTCACAACCCTGACACTTGGACCCTGTACTCATAACTTCCAGGCCAGTGCTTCCCCCACTGGACCACATTGAGGAGTGATACGTTTGAGAAGGGAAGTAGGAAAGCCTTCTTGGGCTTGAATTGATTTTACACCCTAAAGACTATATTTTAGTATACCAAAAGGGATTGGTATTGAATGCCAGCTACATTTTTATAATGCCTGGTGAGTGGTATCACCCAAGAGAAAGTCTCACGTATATGCTCAAGGAGATAAACACATTGTTTCTAATAGCAAAAGCTTTATATCAGTCTAAATCTTGATAAGCCTGAGACTCTCACTCTCCCCCCCATTAATTAGCTTCCAACTCATAGCAATCCTATAGGGCAGGATATAACTGCCCCTGGGAGTTTCCGAGACTAATTTTTTTTTACAGGAGTAGAAATCCTTGTCTTTCTCCTGAGGAGCAGCAGGTGGCTTCAAACTACTGACATTGTAGTTAGCAGCCCAACCCGTAACCACTACACCACCAGGGTTCCTTAGCATGGGACTTGGTGGCATAATGGTTATGTGTTGGGCTGCTAACTGCAAGGTCAGCATTTCAAAACCTCAAGCTGCTCTCAGGAGAAGAGTTACAGTCTCAGAAGCTCACAGGGGCAGTTCTACCCTGTCCTATAGCATTGACAGTGAGTTTTCAGAGGTAAATAAGTTGGTGTACAGTCATGATGTAATATTACCAGTGATTAAAATGAAAAAAAAATTAGGTTATATATTTAAACATTGTTTTCCAAAAATTGACAATGTTAAATGAGAATAAAAAAGTCTACAGCCATGGTTCTCAACCTTCCTAATGCTGTGACACTTTAATAGAGTTTCTCATGTTGTGGTAACCCCAACCATAAAATTATTTTTGTTGCTACTTTATAACTGTAATTTTGCTACTGTTATCAATCGGGTGACCCTGTGAAAGGGCCGTTCGACCCCCAAAGGGGTTGCAATCCACAGGTTGAGAACCGCTGGTCTACAGAATAATGTCAGATGTCCTTAGTATAATGAGCATTCATGGAATTGGTCTACTATTCATGGGTACCTCTATGCGTGTTGTATACATCTGTGTGCCCATAGATAGCATGCCGATTCTGTACATGCTTAGTTGTGACATTAGTCTATGGTGGGCATTTTTACTAAGCAAATGCCAGTGTTCGGCAGGCCTGTTGGGGGAAGCTTGTGCTGTGGAGCTGGTTTGACCTCTGAGAGCCCTCCAGGGACAGGAAGAGTACCAGGGGACAAGCGCTGCACTGGCTCTTCCTGTCCCTGTCCCTCGCGAAGTCTGAAGCTTTCATGTCACAAGACTGTGAACCGGCCCTTCTCCCTGCCCTGTTTCTCTGGCCGTACGCACTGCCGCGATGCTTATCCTTTCTTGATCATTTCTAGGCACACGAGGATGCACACCCGAAGGCCCTACCACGTGGAGGGTGTGGAAGAATACTGCCTTGAGGATGATTTGGTCAATCTCGAGGTTCTGGACGAGGTACCAAATATTTTGCACCTAACGCTTGGGATGGTATTTGTCTCACGTGAATGCACTGACCTTTCTGTGGTAGCCGTCTTCTCGGAAGGTCACGGAGACAGTGGAATTGTTGAAAGTCTTGGGGTGAGGTGCAGGGAACATTTGGTTGCTGTGCCTATGAGCCTGTGTTATATGGATTCATTTCCAGTTTCTGAAATGATGATGAGAAAATATGGGTTTTTCTAGTCAAGCCTTTTACATTGTAGACCCACAGGACGGACTAACGGCTGGACGTATTTTCTGTATTCATAAACACCTGCAACTTAGCCCTAGAAATCAAGACCGTCGTTTGTTTGTTCTAAAGAGGAACTTCATGTAGGGAAACTGGAGTTAATCCAGCTTATTGCATTGGAAGTTTAAAAACGGTGATAATCCCCATTGGAAATACTCATGCTTCATAGAGCTGTTCATTGCAATGGGTCTATGTCTGCTGATTCGCACTCAGGGGGGTGGGTGGCCCTTGCCTTCAAGGCCGAATCATTAAAGTGTAATATGAAAGTATTCAGTTTTGTATACCCATCACATATATATTTTAAGTGCAATGCTTTGAGAAATGATCGTACTAGAGTGTATTGGTTTTATCAATAGGAATGGCCTATTAAATCAAATTCAAAATAGAACACTCTGATTGGGTGAGGCGGTTTTTCACTGTAAGAGATACTGGCTGTGTTGGAGAGCTCCATATCTGTTTGGAAGTCCTTCGACCTCCTGTGGGGAGCTCTGATGGTGCAGCTGTGCGTTACACAGTGGGCTGCTAACCACAAGGTTGGCGATTCAAAACAAGTAGCTACTCCTCTAGAGAAAGATGCGGCTTTCTGGGCCCACAGCACAGTTTACAGCCTCAGAGACCCACAGGGGCCGGTCTACCCTGCCCTCAGCGTCTCTGTGAGTCAGAGTGGACTCCACAGTAGTGAGTTTCCCTCCGTGTAAAAGTCCAAATGAATCCATCTAATCCAGGATAGGACTGTTCTCAGTGCTCCCAGTGGTGGAGTGTTGGGAATTAGATTAGATCGCTCGACCTTTCTCCTAAGGCACCTTTGGCGGGATTCCAGCTTCTAAGCCAAAGACTTCGCTGTCTACGTCTATCGCTAACATCTCTTCGTTCAAGGTGGTGTCTACATTTAGAATCTTTAAGATCAGTTGCAAGATTTAAATGGCTAACTTTCATCTTTTAGAGAAGAAGTATTTTTAAAAGAATGGGTTGCTATTTGTGGAATTTCTCTTTTAATTGGCAATAATCTTTCATTTCATTGTCACCTATCCTCATCGTAGGACACAATTATCCATCAGCTACAGAAACGTTACATGGACTCGATGATGTATACCTATGTTGGAGATATCTTAATTGCCTTAAACCCTTTTCAGAATCTAAGTATATACTCTCCACAGGTAAGTTATTCATTACAGACATATTACTCCTTAATAAAAAAATAAATAAAATTTACAAAGGACAATGAAGGAAAGAAAGTTAAGAGTGAAATTATGTTACTCAAATGGGTCTATACTCCAATATGCAAGTATTGATGTTATAGAAACTGAATTCTTTCTTTTTTGGGTTGCATTTTAAAAAATAAGCTATAATAATAATAGTATTTATATTATAATAGATTAAAATATAAGTATATATACATGTTTAATATGCATGAAATATATATTTTTAGTGAGCTACATTGCCTAATTCTCATAACCCTTTTAGGCAAGTATTGTTTGTTTTAACAGTTTTATTGGCATATAACTCACATATACGATTCAATAGTTTGATCATATTAAAAAGAGTCGCGCCATCATCACCACAATAATCTATTTTAGAACATTTTCTTCTTTGTTTTACTCATTGTTATTGGCTCCCCATTTCCCCAAAACCTTTTCAGCTCTCCCTCTAAATCCAGTTACTGTCTTGATAGATTTACCTGCCCTGGCTTTCATATACAGAAAAACATACCAAGCAAAAAACAAACCTAAACAACCACACCAGCAATAATAACAAAATTAAACCGAGAACAGCCTCAATGGAAAAGAAAGCAGAAAATATTAAAAACTTGTGCAAAATTCAAAATGATTAAAAAGGGAAATCAAATGAGAAAGTGTTCAATTTTAACCAACTTTATCTACCATAATATACTTTCCCATGCACTCTCTTAGACAATTATTATTATTTTCAAGCCCACTTGGAAGATAAGGAGAATTGGTGCAGAGAAATTGATTCAGGCGCACAAGCTCATGAAAGCAGTCAGTTCAGAATTGGGATTTGAACTCGGGCCTGCAATCTCTAGAATTTGTGTTTTCTGAACTTCCTGATGCAAAGACACCCTTAATAAAAGGCTAAGTCTTGGTTTCAGGGGTCACAGAGCCTTAGGAAGTGTAGGAAACATTGTCATTTTCCTGTACATTGACAATGTTTTTCTTCAGTTCTCCAGGCTTTATCATGGGGTGAAACGAGTCTCAAATCCCCCCCACATATTTGCGTCAGCCGATGCTGCTTACCAGTGCATGGTTGCTTTCAGCAAGGACCAGGTGAGAATGCCCCTGCTGCTGCTCCTTTCCTGCACACAGCCACACTGTCTGGAGCCCTGTTGGGTAAGAGTTGAACTGCTAACCACAAGGTTGGTGGTTCAAATCTAGCAGCTGCTCAGTGGAGGGAGGATGACTGCAAAGATTTACAGTGGCGAAACCCTAGATAGGGTCTCTATGAGACAGTCTGGCCTTGCTGGCAATGTGGTCTTGTTTTGTTTATCAGTCACACTGTTAGATGCTCTGCATCTTTTTCTCCAGAAAACCTCTTATCCTGGGTGCCAGAGCAGACCCAGCAAAATAAGAGATGAAACAGCAGCTCAGGCAAACTGGAACACTGATGAAGTCAAGTCAGAGTAGAAGGAACATGACGTGAAATGTTCACCTCAAGAGTGTGTATTTTCCCCACTGAAATGGAATGAGGACATTCCTGCGACGACTATCCTGAGAACATAGAGCAAATACAAACTCGAGTCATATGGCAGTGATTGGAATGAAAACGGAACGTAGAGCGGCACAAGTGAAATTCCTTCTTACTAAGGGCCTTGAATTTTCATAGTCCAGCCCAGTATGAAATGTTGTACACAGCTTGACTGTGATGACATACCATGCCATTAGGCTGCCGAGAAATTATCATGGATGGGGTCAAAACTGAACTGAATTTAAAGGAACTGAAAGGCTAGTGGTTCTAACCTTCCAGCCACTTCCCAGGAGAAAGACGTGGCAGCCTACTTCCATAAAGCTTGCTGCCTTGGGAGCCCCGTGGGGCAGTTGTTCCCTGTGCTGAGCTATAGCTGTGAGTCAGAATGCACCCCATAGCTGGGTGTTTACTCCCCTTCAATACGCGCGTGCGCGTGCGCGCGCGTACACACACACACTCTGCTTTATTACTCTGCTTGATACAGAAGTCATTGAATATGATATGCAAATATTAGGTGAAAAATCTAATATGCGTATTTCCTGAGACCTAGATCAGTGGTTCTCAACCTTCCTAATGCCACGACCCTTTAACACAGTTCCTCATGTGGTGGTGATCCCCAACCACAACATTATTTTCGTTGCTACTTCATAACTGTCATTGTGCTACTGTTATGAATCATCATGTAAATAAATATCTGATATGCAGGATGTGTTTTCATTGTTACAAGTTGAACATAATTAAAGCGTAGTGATTACTCACAAAAACAATATGTAATTATATATTGTAAAATATTTATTTCTAATGACATATCAATGAAATTTCATCTTGAAGCATGGGTAACAGTCAACACGCCGGGTATTTGTCTGTGGGCGTATCTGCATATGGCGGACCCAGCTGGAGACGGATAGAGGAGCGGTGTCTCGGTCGGTTCTTAAGACCATTGGAAATAAGTGTTTTCCGATGGTCTTAGGTGACCCCTGTGAAAGCGTCATTTGACCCCCAAAGGGGTCACGACCCACAGGTTGAGAACTGCTGGCCTACACAGTCCCAGCTCTAGGACTGGTTAAGGAATCGATGAAACTACTACCGTGGAGATTTAAGATAAAGTACATGGGTTCCCTGTGAGTTAGAAGCTTGGTGACACCCTTCTAGAGACTGGTGAAATGTCGACACATTTCATGAAGCTCCCTGGTGTAGTAGGTTACGAGCTAGGCTGGGCTGCTAACTGCAAGGTTGGTAATTTGAAACTACCACCTACCCCCCCAGCCCCACCCCACCTCCCGGGAGGAAGAGGAGGCTATCTACTCCCATAAAGATTTACAGTCTCGGAAACCCACACAGTCAGTGTGTTATGAGTTAGCATGGACTCAATGGCAGTGAGTTTTTTATTTTTATAGATTTCATCGAGAGGAAATGAATAGAACGTGATTTCTAGTTTTCTCGGGTTAGGAAACAGCTCTATTAATCTTCTTTACATATCAAGAGCTTTTAGAAATCAATAATAAAAAGACCAAAAGTACCAAGAAAGGACGAAATGCAAATATAAGTATCCAAGTCACACACATGCACCAAATACAAATGGCCTTTGGCAAATGAAAAACGCCCACCCTCACTCAGAATACCATCACCAAGCTCACTGCCATGGACCGATGCTGACTCATCACGGCCTTCTGTGGGTTTCCGAAACCGTAACTGCTACAGGGGTAGGAAAGCCCAGTCTTTCTCCATGGAGCTGCTCGTGGTTTTGAACTGCCAACCTGTGGTTGCAACCCAACAAGTAACCACTCCATCACCAGGGCCCCTCTCCCTTAGAAAAGGAGGAATACAAATGATGAGTACGCTGAAATATCATTGATCATCTTTTTCCTGTTCATTTTGGTCCCAAGTTTACAGAGCAAGTTGGTCTTCCGCTCAGCAATTCATACACATTTTGTTTTGTGTTACTGATTGCAATCCCTGCGAGGTGACCACACGCTGTCTACCTTCTCCCTGTGTTGACTATTTCCTTTTGTCCATCTTTCCTGTCCTGCCATTGATCTTTCTCTCTGGGCAATTTCTGCCCTTTTACTCATTATTGCTAGTACGTACCTCCCTGGTGTTATTATTCACCCTACAGGCCTATTATCAGTTAGCTGGAAGCTGAGTCACAGAAGTGAGTTTAGATCCAAGTCTGAAGAGTGTCTAAGGGCCGTACTCATAGGGGTTCCACCAATATCTATCACACCCGTAAGCCTGATCTTTTTACGATTTAAGGTTTTGTTCCACATTCTCCTCCTCCTCTGTCCAGGGCCGCCTATGTGATCCCTTGCAGAACACGCAACAGTAGTAGCCGGGCACTATCTAGTACTTCTGGTCTCAGACTCTCAGTGTCATATGGCCCATTAGTTCTTCGAATGAATTGTTTCCACGCATCTTTGATTTCTTCAGTCTTCTTTCCTCCATATGGGGAGGTCCAGTTGCACCTTAGATTGCTGCTTGCAAGCTTCTGAGACCATTCACTGCTCACCAAAGTAGGATGTAGAACATTTTCTTTAAGGATTGCTATGTCAGTTGACCTCAATATCCTTCCAGACTATGGTCCTGAGACCCAGGCCCACTAACTAATTTCCTTGAAGTGTTTGATTATGGCTAGGAAGTTGATTTTTAACCCATTAGACTCACAAAATCACAACAAAACCCATTGATGTTTTCTTAGGAAAGTCGTTGGGCAGAGTCTGTCACATCAACAAGCATATGTATCCTTCGCTTCAACAACCCCACTTCTAGGAATTCATTCTACAAATGAGTCAGCATAGAAATATAATAACCTGCTGATGGGCTTATCCATTACAGATTACTTGGAATAGCAAAGAAATCAGAACACCCATCAATATGAGACTCTTTGATAGATGATGATAGATACATCTTGACACCTGAACAAAAGATAGCAAAAGCAAATAGTTGTATACAGGATTGAAGAAACGCTCTATGTACCCAGATGGAAAGATCCCTATGTTATCTTGCTCAGTGAGAAAATTAAAGTCTACAGTAGTGGGTGTTATATGAAATCCTAGGTGACCTTTCCGACTCAGAATGACCGTAAAGGACAGAGTAGAACCTGACCCCTTTGGGCTTTCTGGGACTTTAAATCTTTAGAGGAGTAGAGAGCCTCGTTTTTTTTTCCTGTGGAGCAACTGGTGGGTTGGAACAGCTGATTTTGTTGTCAGCAGCTCCAGTCATAGCCTGCTACCCGAGCAGGGCTCGCTGGGAGTCAGAATCCATTTGATGGCAGTGAGTTTGAGTTTGATAGTTGAAATCACAAGATGTTTACTGTGCTGTTAACCTTCGCATTTCATTCTGTTTTCTGTGTCAGTGCATTGTCATCAGTGGCGAAAGTGGTTCTGGGAAGACAGAAAGTGCCCACCTGATTGTTCAGCATTTGACATTCTTGGGAAAGGTATGGACTACCTGTGTGTGTTTTTTTTACATTGTCCCTAGAAGTTATTGCAGAATAGCTGACTATTTTAGAAATGACCCAAATAATATTTTGATTACAGGTTACATAAAACACTCCATCTTATTTGTGTCTGCTTTGATAGCTGTGGCTCGTAAGATGTCAGCATGCCTCCCTTCCTTCATGTAGTGAGGAAAATAATGCCAGCACAGACTTAGTAGTTGCTCAGCAATGAGATTTTCATGTTTTCAATATAATAAAGACATGGGGTCATTAAGCACCAAACATGTTAAATATTGGGGACAAGACCAAGGAGAACCACCAGGCTATTAAAAGGTTGGAAAGTAGAAATCTTGGAGCAAAAAAAGTGAGGGAAAATATTGTTTGGTGAAATGACATTGGAAGAATGACTTGAAAAATGGTCTCGTATCTCCTATTATGTATACACACATTCTCAGAATTAGTCTGTTATGTGACGATTGTCTCTGCTAGGTAAGTATTCGACTGTCAATGATAAAGGTGGCTGTTCAAAGCTACCCGGTCCTCCTTGGGAAAATCCACGAGGCTATCGGCTCCCTTAAAGAAAGCAGCCTCAGAAACACTATATAAGGTTCCCAGGATTTAAAATCAATGCCATGCCGTTGGGTTTAGCTATGAAGGAACTTGAAGATTTTTTTTTAACTGTTGAGTTTTCTTGAATATTATCATGAGTGACAGAGAAAAGATCTATCTCTGAACTCTCTAGGCCTTTTATCTGTCAAGGATTTTAAGTATGACTAGATTTTAAAACTGAAACCCAGGCAAATGACCTGATCTGATTAACATGCACTTGGGGAATTGCTCAAATGAGAAACGGATTTGGGTGGCTGGGGCTAATTACCCTAAACGGAGCTTGTCCCAAAAGGAGAATGAACTTGGGCCGGCAGGGAAGGGAGGGAGCCTGGTGAGTTTGCTGGCGTTGCTGCAAGTCCCTCTTGACTGTTTTCTGTTCAACACAGGCTAATAATCAAACCTTGAGAGAGAAAATTCTGCAAGTGAACTCGCTCGTGGAAGCCTTTGGGAATGCATGTACTGCCATCAATGACAACTCGAGTCGTTTTGGAAAGTACCTGGAAATGATGTTTACACCAACTGGAGCGGTGATGGGGGCAAGAATTTCTGAATACCTTCTTGAAAAATCCAGAGTTATCAAACAAGCAGTGTAGGTGCACTAGTTTGTCACTCTGATTTTCTCTGCAGGATAAACTAGGAGGGAGGCCTTGGGAAATTTAATAGCATCAACTCACCCATAGGCTCTGCCATGCTCTCCTGACCCTCTGCCTTCCACGGACCAGGAATTACCTGAGTGAAACACCAGTGATAGTTGTTGACCTAAAAGACGTGGAAGGGCTCATTGCAAAGGGCTGGAACAAGGGTGCAGTGGGACAGGTATATTTATTTCTCCCAAGTTAGTTATATTAAGTAGAACCAAACAACATTGCAGATACTTTAAAGTATCGTTAAATTCAAGCTCACTGCCACTGAATTGATATAAGTCCCTTAAAATTCATTTTGCATATTAAAAAACAGAACTGAGGGTATTCCATACATTAATCCCCCACCCCACCCCACCCTTAGATTGAGAGATGGGAGAATTACTCAGTTTTAAGAAGAGCAATATAATAGTGATTAAAAGCCTAGCCTTTGCTCTGGGTTTAAATAAATGTTAGCTTTCTCGTACATTGTGTGACCTTGGGCATGTCACTTAACCCATTTCTCACTTATGAAATGGATGAGCTAACAGTGTCTACTTGGTGGGTTTATAGTAAAGAGTAATACATTCAATTAAATAGACCTATTTAAAAGAATGCCTGTTATGGTATGTGCTATCAGTATGTTAGTTGTGAGGTTTCTCCTCCTCCTCCTCACTATTATTACTATCAAACACCAGAGGTCACAAGCATGACTCTCTTCATGCTGAATCCGGTCATTCCTATTGAATGCTCTCTGTATGCTAAGTGCTATGCTGTCCGCAAGGGTTGTCAGAATAAACAAAACAGACAAGGTTTCTGTATTCATGGAACTCAGAATGTGGAAGAAGGGGAGAAACGGGTCACAGATATTCAACAGATGTTTTGGGGTGACATTGAGTCCATTCACAGTGACCTTGTGTGCAATAGAATGACCCCAGGTTATCCGTACAAATTTCACTGTGTGTGAGCCCACTGTTGTAGGAGCAATCCAGTTCACGGAAGGTTTTCCTTTTATTTTTTCCCCCTTGTGCTAACCTTCTACTTACCAAGCACGACATCGTTTTCTGGGATTGTTCCCTCTTAAGAGCATGTTCCCGCATTCTCCCTGCGAAGAGAGATTTGTTCATTCCTTTGGCAGTCTGTGGAATATTTAATATTCTTCCCCATAGTTCAAATGCATCAATTCTTCCTTGGTCTTCTTTATTTATTGTTAAGCTTTTGTAAATGTATGAGGTGATTGACAATACCACGGATGTGGGTCATGTGTACTTCAGTGTGGCATTTTTGCTTTTTGAAAGAGGTCTTTTTCATCAGACTTGCCCGGTGTGATAATAGGTCATTTGATTTCTTAACTGCTGCTTCCATGGCTGCTGATTGTAGGTCCAAGTAAAATGAAGTCCTTGATAACATCAATACTCTCTCCACTTATCACTGTGTTGCTCATTGGTCCAGTTGTGAGGATTCCGTATTCCTTACGTTGAGGTGAAACATCTACTGAAGGCTATCGCTTGGGGCCTTGATCAACACGTACTTCAAATGCTCTTCACCTTCCTTGGCACATCGCAAGTTGTCGATTAGTGTCTCTCCAGCCCAGAAGTGTTGTTCTTCTTCATACAGTCTTGGATGACATAGATGCAAAACAGCTGTGATCAGGACTAGGAAGCAGTGTGAGGTGCTCCGAGGGTGCAGCAGGAGAAGGGAAGGGCACCTGGCCTAATGCAGGAAGAAAGACTCTTGGTGTCTGACATTTAATCTGAGACCCGAGAACAATGAGGCTTGAGCCAATGAGTTCAAAACAAGGCGGAAGAGGCTGAGAGCAGATCATGCAGGGGCCAGACTCGGGATTTTGAACCTTATTCTAGAGTATTAGGAAATTGGTTAAGACAATGAAACAATGGAGTCATGAAATCCAATTGGTCTTTGGAAATGGTCACTGATTTCCTAGGGAGAATGGGTTGGAAGAGATTGGGAGAGGAATTACTAACTGTGCTGAGACAATTAAGAGCTTGCTGCAAATCCCCACAAGGAGACTGCTGGCCGAGTCTATGGCCGTAGCAGTGGAAAGGGAGAAAAGTTGAGAAATCTGAGAGATAATGTCTAAGTACAGAATCAATAGAAGTTGTTAAAGGTTCAGAAAACACAAGCATCTTCCTTTATCATGTATTTGCTGTTCCTTCATAAAAGAGATGTCATAAAAATTAAACAAATGGACACTGGCAAATGACATCAATAACAACAGATAGAATAAGAGGGACTTAAGCTTCCCTGTGGCTTCTCAATGGAGCCTTGGCGACACTGTGGGTTATGCACTCGGCTGCTAACCACAGGGTCAGTTGTTCAAACTCACCAGCTCCTCCTCAGCAAGATGAGGCTGTCTGCTCTTTTAAAGCTTTACAGTCTTGGGAATCCCATAGAAGGTAAGTATGAGTCAGAACAAACTCAATGGCAGTGGGTTTACATTGGACTTAATGTCTTTCTCTAGGAGCTCTGGTGGCACCGGGGGTAGACCTGAGCCTGTGAACCAATGGAATCAATGTTAGGGCGGGGGTTTATGGCTTCTTAATGGATTGTTATGTGGTTCCTTGTTTCTTTATCCCAAATGGAGATGCTTTTAAAGCTTAGGGAGCTACCTCTGGCAGAATGGAAACTCATTCTCTGTGTTTAAATCTCTGAAGGCGTTGCACTGACCGCTATTAGCATATCCTGGTACCTTAGCCACCTCATGTGCGAAGTGGTCATAGAACGCTGACCACATCGGGTTGCTATGAGGATGAAATGAAATGCTGTTTTTATGGGTTCTGGAAGAGAGTATGAGGCTAAATCAACAAGTGTTGCTACTGGGGCTCCCGCTCGTACAGGCACGGGCTTAGTTGAAACAGTGTTTGAGCTTGTCTCTATAGACAAATTCTCTCAGTAGTACACCTGTCATAGTCTCACTATAGTGTCTTCAATTAAAAAAAAGGTTCAATCAAAAACAGTGGCTTTCAAGGGGATCTGCTAAGTCAATCAAATTCAAGTCGGAGAGGTCAGCTCCGAAGATTATGGTATTTTTGATCTTCCAAAGGGGCAATCAATAGATTTTCTGAAAGAACACTGGAAAATCATGGGAAAACTGTTTTAAGAAAATTGAAAACTGCACTGGTGAGAAAAAGATGAAGGAAATGGTGCCAATGATTTTTTCCCCATCACAACCCTGCACCTGCTCCTTTGTTGCGGGTGGCAAAGGGCTGTTCTAAGAGAATGTGTTCAGGAGGCCTTAACCCTGCCGCTCTCCAGCCCTGCTTTTGCCCCTTCAGACATCTTTTTGTCTTGCCAGCTCAAGGAACAACTCAAAGGAGCACTATTTGAATCCTCTGAGCATGCGGTACATCCAAGAGCCGAGGAACCTCTGGAAAAGGTGAAGCAGATGGAAGCCCTGCTTTCAGGAGTGTGGAGACCCAGACGGAGAAACAATAGCTTCAGCTGTCGGGATTTAAAATAAATAGAAAAATGAAGATTGCTATGATTTTATAACAATACCATTTGACTTCCCCTCCTCGAGCTCCCCAAACTCAAAAACCAAACTCACTCCCATTGAGTCGATTCCAATTCACAGTGACTCTATAGGACAGAGTGGGATTGCCCCTTGTGAGTTTCTAAGACTTAGCTGTTTATGGGAGTAGAAAGTCTCATCCAGCTCCCAAGGATGACTGGTGGTTTCGAACTGCTGGCCTTGCCGTTAACAGCCCAACACATAACCATTATGCTACCAGAGCACCTTGTACCTAGATACTAAATCATAATTCTTATTAGCATTATTAATAAAGAATGCTTTTAAGTCTAGCCCTGGTGAGGTTTAATAGGTTGAGGGCACTGAATGAGGAGACGATGGGACTTGTGGAAGTTATCCGTCTGTCCCCGTACTCTTCCGGACTCTGCCCCCTGCTGGGCACATCTGCTTGGGATGATGTTTGAAATAGTGGAGACCTCGATTGTGAGACAGAGCCTATTCTTTTATCGGCTCTGTGACTGGTGAACTAGTCACATCCTCTCTGGGGCGTCAGGAAAATAGAGAGTTTGGGATCTCCCAAGTCAGTCTTCGCCATCTCTGAAGCTCCACTGGCTACCCACAGAATCTCCGTGGCACAGGGACATGGGGCGCAGACTGGGATAGAGGGCTCTCAGAACCTGCCTCACGTTAGTCATCACCTGTCAACATTTCATTCTCCAAAGCGCCCTGTGCTTAAAATGGATGCTCTCAATCATCAGCTTTACGACAGTCACCGTACTGCTCGTGCCACTCTCCCTAGGATGGAACTGGGGCGTCACACATGCAATTGTCTGGCAATGCAGATTGGCTACAGAGTAGTCTTTCACACGGGACGGAAATCGTATAACTTAACTTGAAGCAGAGAATCCTAGAATATATTCTGAACAATGTCCTGCCTTGTTTTTGTTTCTGTGCCCCCCAGGGGAGAGAAAAATTTTCACATTTTTTACTATATCTATGCTGGTCTTTATCACCAAAAGAAACTTTCTGATTTTGGACTTCCTGAGGAAAAACCTAGGTAAGTGTCAGAGTTTCCGTTGTTCATTATGAATGAGTGTCGGCATCAGTCGCAGCTGATAGTGTAGGAGATGATACATGGAGATAAATGCTGTTCCTCAATGGAAGCCCTACACCCAAACCAACTCACTGTCCCCGAGTCCATGCTGACTCGGAGCGGCCCTCCAGGACAGGGTAGCACTGACCCTGTGAGTTTCTGAGACTGTCACTGTTCACGGGAGCAGAAAGCTCCATCGTTCACTGAAATGAAAGCCCTTCGTCTGACAGAAATGTCCAGGAAGAGGTGGCAGGAACTCCATTCCACTCTTTATATTTTCTCTGCAAAGTTCAAAACCCAGCTGCAGCCATTGCGCTCAGACTTGCAAACAGTTCAGTGCTTGCCTGCTACCCAAAAGGCGAGGTTTGAGCCCACCCAGCGGTACCTTGGGGGGATGGTTGGAAAACCAGTTTTACTCTTTCTCTCTCTCTCTCTCTTACACACACACACACACACACACACACACACACACACACACGCTGGTTCCCTGGGAACACACTGGACTTGATGACAACTGGTTTGGTTTGGGGTTTCATGAGTCTAGTGGGCAAATTGCCCGGTAAAGAGTAGCTCAAACACTTGCGGTGTCCCTTTCCAAGCCAGTGGTGACTGGTCATTCTCTAATTCACGTAGGTATATAGCCGATGAAACCGGAAAGGTGATACATGACATCATTTCTAAGGAGTCTAATCGAAGACAATTTGAGGCCATTCAACATTGCTTCCGGATTATAGGGTTCACTGACAAGGTAAGGAACTGTCGAGAAGAAAAAGTGTTCATGTTCTTGGATGACTGTGAGTGGAGTCAGGGATGTTCTAGTTGGGGGAGGGGAGGGCACTTGCTTTTTGAATGTCTCACTTGTCATATTCTAAGTCCTGTGCTAGGAGAGACAAGACCACCACTCCCCTTCAAATCTGATCTATGGAGACACATTTATTAAGTGTTAGATAGGACAAAGGCAAATCATCCAGATAAGGGAGCCCGTTCCGCACAAGGCATAATGGTATCCAAGGACTGAGAGTACCTCAGCCACTGAAGGTGACCTGGAGGACAAAGGAGGCCAGCACAAAATCCTGACTGGTCACAGATCAATGCGTCAGAGTTGTAGGCTGCACTGGAGAAGCGGGGCCAGGACAACAATTAGGAAACATGTACTACTGCAGATGGAAGAGTTTGCAATTTAACTATGGAATGGTATATTGTCTGGATTAGCTCCTGATAAAATGGTCTGGAAAAAAAGAAAACCTTAGAAGATTGGTTCAGGGCCCTCCAACCAATGTAGACATCGTATGACTCATGACTGCTCAGACCCAGGTACCCCAATTCCACCAAAGGCACATGCAGGCAGGTCCGTAAGGTCTAGTGAGTGCCCCTCACTAGCCTGGTAGTGGGAGTATCCATTTCCAAGCACACACTGACTGAGGGCAAAACTTTTCACACTGCCAGTCCAAAGAAAGCAGACTCACTGCCAATCAAGCTGGTGCAAACTCATAGCAACCCTATAGGCCAGGGTAGACTGTCCCTAGGAATTTACAGAACTGTAACTCTTTACTGGAGTAGCAAACCCTGTCTGTTTCCCAAGAAGCAGTTGGTGGTTTCGAACTGCTGATCTTGCAATTAGCAGCCCAACTTAATCATCACTAGACCACTAGGGCTTCTACAGTGGTCAGAAAAAACTCAGTGGAGGTTGAATCTGTGTAGAGACTCAAAAATGGATGTACAGTTCTCACTGTAAATCGTAGGCTTCCATAAATTTAGTGCTCAGAACCTCAGCTCGCATATGCTATCCCCAGAACTGTCCCAGGACCCGAGACAATCTCCTCCACCTGAGAGTGTTGGAAGTGCAGGCTCACAGGCCCAGCCAAGAAAGACGCAATCAGAATCTGCGGTTTCACGAGATACCCAAGTGGGCTTTAAACAAGAGAAACACACACACACACACACACACAAAACAAAACAAGAGAAACACTGTTGGAAGAACCATGTCTCTATGCATGGTTCCCATTGTCCCCAATTCCCTGCAGCAGTATTAACAGACACTCAAACAATAGTGCCCTTTGCTGAGTTGGGGTGGATCCGATCATTTAAGTGAATTGTGTCATAGGAGTACAGGGGTGTGTAGGTTATGCCCAAGCCATAGAAATATATTTGTGTAAGTAGCACGTTGTTCACCAAGAGAAGTTCATTTAAACCCTGCCAGCTTTCTCGCAGCCACTTCCATCTCCATGCGACAGAGTCGTGCATTATTACCTATAGCTCTAAGTGCTGTACTACTCTTATCACACAAGATACAGACTGTCTCTATTAAATATATGCGATAGGTGACAGAAAATATTTATAACCCTCAGCTCAAATATTATTCTGTGATGATACCTTTATGTCATAGCTTCTGGGCTTCATGCCATCAATTTTGCAAAATATATGGATTCTTCTGCTTTTTCAACAAAAGAGGTGAATGATTAGGAGGTAGGTGAGAGTGTAAAGTCTCCAGGGATTGGATTATGAGACATTCCAGGGACCCGCGGACAGCCCTTCTTGATAAAGGATTGCTTCTGTAATCCACGAGCTCGGCCAGCCCTGACTTCCCAGGCCTGGTTGATTTCAGTCATAAAAACACCTTCCTTTTTTCCAGCCAGGTGCTCATTTTTTTTGTCAGCCTCCCACAGACTTTAAACTGACAGACGGTGGAAAATCCCAAACGACAGATTAAAAATAAAATTATATTCCCTTTGCTTCTTACAGGAGAGCAATTAAACCGGCTCTGGTTTTGTTAGAGGACCTTTATAGTTATTAATTATAGAGTTGGTTTCTATCAAAGACACATCACCACAAGAGGCCAAGCATGATGGAGCTGGCAGCGGAGCCATTTTAAGGCACCGAGATCTTGCTACCATGTTTGGAAGATGTTAACTCGAAAGGACACATAAACAAGAGAGAAGTCAATCCCTGGGGTCAAAACTGTTTTGCTTCCCTCGAGTACAAAGATGTGCGATAGGATGTGGAAGAGAGGGATCCTAGCTCAAACAGAAGGGATGTGCTGTATTTTTATGCAAGTAACATATGAGTTCTATGTTTGTGGGGGGAAATGCCAGCCCCCCGCCACTAATCACGGGTTCGCTAGGTGCAATGGTACGGTTGAGACATGTAAAGATTATAGTAAAGTCATAGAGAGCATGAGAGATAGAAGAGAGATTGAAATAATGGAGTCAGACACATTTCATGGTAGCATGCTCACCTCAAGGCAGCACAGCTTTAGGGGAGAAACAGTGGAAAAGATAGATTACCACAGGAAAATGTACTTTGACTACATCTCCAACAACCAGAGTGGCGGCCTTCCTACCGTGGAACACTGGCCATCCAGAGTCCCTCCGTACCAGTCAGGGAGTAAGTCCCAGTTCTGTTTTCCTTAGTGCTGGTACCCTACATTTCCCCCTTCTGCATTACATTTAAGATCTAATCGTGTCACAGAGGCAACATGATCTCTCTTCTATCTCTCATACTCTCTATGACTTTACTATCATCTTTATATATCTCAACCGTACAATTGCGCTTAACGAACCCGCGATTAGTGGTGGGGGGCTGGCATTTCCCCCCACATATGTTTACCCAGGAAGTCTTTTTATAAACATACTATGCTGTTTTAAAAGACATCAACATGTAAAAATAATTGACATAGTGGCCATTTGGAAGCTGTCTCCGAGAGGAGGGCGCTGGTAAACAAATGTAGAAGGCGTCTGTTGTTTGTTTAAAAATACAGTAACGGTTCCTTTCTAGGAAAAGGAAAGGTACTGCAAGTAATGAAGCAGATGTTATGTGTTTTGGGGTTACAAACTGAAAACAGAAGAAACTAAATATACAAGGCAGGCGCAATAAGTTAATGGAAAAATTCCATGATCTTTTAGTTCCATGTTTTCCATGACTTTTTTATGCTTGTAATATGTATTTATTCATTTCAGAAAACTCATTATACTTTGTGTATATTTTGCTCTGTTGTGTTTATTTATTTATTTTTCAAAATGATTTTATTGGGAGCCGATGCAGATATCATATCGTTCCATAGTTCAATCACATCAAGCAGTATTGTGCGTTTGCTACCGCAATTAGTTTCCAAACATTCTTTTCCTTCTTGAACTCTTTGACGTCAGCTCCCTTTTAACCTCCCCACCCCATGCCTTTCCATGGGTTTTTTGAAGCCCCATTCTATATCCTTGAAGTAAGCCCTCCCTAACCTCTGGGGGGAAAGTACAGTAGAAATAAATAAATGAATGTATGGATGAATATGCGTATATAAAGAAAGAAATGTAAAAGATAGTTAACGGTCTTAATTTGTACTTAATGTGGGGTGTTATATGAATAATATACCTCCCCCCTGCTCCCTATTAATTCACATTGCAAATAAACCAATTTATGTCAGTTAGCAACCTTGTGGGAGAAAGACGAGGCTGTCTCCTCCCAACAGAGAGGTACAGTCTTGGAACCCACAGGGGCAGTTCTACCCTGTCCTGTAGGGTCACAATGAATCAGAACTGACTTGAGAACAGTGGTTTGGGTTTGCTTGTGAGCAGCCTTGGAAATGGAAGGTAGGCATTGGAATTAGTTCACTGACCCTCAATTCTATGGTTATATGTCTATAAACAACCTGCTTACTGAATGAATACAGCAGTTCACTTCATGCTTATAGGCTCAAAGTAATTTGCCTGAACTTCTTTCTACTATCTTTTTTATCAAAGACACAGCATCAGAAGAGTCAATACATGGTGGAAATGGCAGTAGAGTCATTTGAAAACACTTCATTCTTTCCTAAGTGTGTGTGTGTGTGTGTGTGTGTG